GTGAGTGCATGTGTGTGTGTGTCAGTGAATGTGTGTGTGTGTGTGAGTGCGTGTGTGTGTGTGTGAGTGCGTGTGTGTGTGTGTGCGTGGGTGTGTGTGTGTGTGTGGGCGTTTGTGTGTGTGCGTGGGTGTAGGTGTGTGTGCAGGTGTGTATTCGTATAACTTCGTATAATGTATGCTATACGAAGTTATTACGTATATATATATATATATATATACGTAATAACTTCGTATAGCATACATTATACGAAGTTATACGACATGTGTGTGTGTGTGTGTGAGTGCATGTGTGTGTGTGTGCGTGGGTGTGTGTGTGTGTGTGGGCGTTTGTGTGTGTGCGTGGGTGTAGGTGTGTGTGCAGGTGTGTATGTTTGTGTATATTTGTGTATATTTGTCTATGTTTGTGTATGTGTGTATGTATGAGCATGTATGTGTATTTATGTGCATGTGTGTGTATATGTGTGCATGTGTCCATATGTATGTGTGCATGTGCACTTTTGTGTGTGTGCGTTCGTGTGTGTGAGTGCACGTTCGTGTGTGGGTGTGCGCGTTCATGTGTGTGTGTGCGCGTTCGTGTGTGGGTGTGCGCGTTCGTGTGTGTGTGTGAGCGTTCGTGTGTGTGTGTGCATTCGTGTGTGTGTGCGTTCGTGTGTGTGTGTGTGCATTCGTGTGTGTGTGCGTTTGTGTGTGTGTGTGCGTTTATGTGCGCGTGTGCGTTTGTGTGTGTGTGTGCATTTGTGTGTGTGTTTGTGTGTGCATGCGTGTGTTGGTGTGGGGGAGGAGTGTGCTAGTGCTTTTATGTTACTATGTGTGTATTTGTGTGCACATTTAAACATCAAGATAGAGAGACAATTCACAGAGACACCCATACACCCATATAAGCACATTAATTCATGCATGCATACATACAAATGTATACCCAGACAATCATGCATGCACATCGACTTGCATGCACACATACATACACATGAATGCACTCGTACATGAATATGCATAAAAAAAGGATAAAATCATCTAGCCTGTGATAACAGTTCAGTTTTAACTATGATTTCCTTGCTCCTTATCAAATTGTTGGAAATTAAAATATTCACTGAATATTCTTTCATCTAATATTCATGACTTATCAATGTGTTACCCAAACTCATAAGCCAATCTAAGAGTTATGGCAGAAAGTCTATTAGTTTACATCCATATCACACAGTTACTTTATCGCTTGATTATATTGAGCCATGCTAAAAAATATATTTTAGAAAACCTCCAGGTAGGTATGTTGTTCTTTACTGTACAAAATCTTCCTTTGAAATATTCTTTGCCATTAAAACCGTTTGGGTGTGGTGCAGGGGGTGGGGGTGGGAGGGGGCGTCACGGGAAACAGGGGAGGCTCCAGGCTGCTCCCAACACCACAACAGGGACTTGATGTCTATGGAAGTCACCCTACTTGTCCCCTCCGGAGCACAGGGAAGACGTTTGGAATGGGCACAATCATTTGCTAAAACTGTTTTCTTTTTACAGATTTTGCAAAAATCACATTTTGGAATATCTAACCTTATTCAATAGCCCTGGGAGAAATGGCTGAACAGTTGTGTCAGACAGCCTGTGAATACAGCACTATGGATGCCCAAAATGCCCATAAGTGTCAAAAACACTACCACCATCAAAACTAACATGTCAACTACAACTACTGATACTGCTCTGGTGCCCAAAAACATTACACTTTTCTTTAGGTATTTCCTTTTACTTCTATTCATCTTTACATACAAGGATGGTATAGAACCAGATGGTGGCAAGGGAGTTGGTCAGGATCTCTTGATTTAACACCTGCGCTTGCAAACTCTGACATAACTGCTCAGGATTAGGTCTATTGTTTACACTTAAAACTAAGGCTTGCCTTATACTACAGATTTTCCCTACAGTTTCTTAATCTATATTCGTTTGCACAAAATTCACAGTGAAGAAAGTGTAATAAAGAAACAAAAGGAAAAAAAAATCACAAAACACAACGCCACAGATTTGAATAACACATCTTTTTTGTATTTTCTGAACTTTGGAATTACCTTAACTCTAGTTGAGGTGTTGTGGCCACAAGCTGACACCAAGGCCATCATGACATGGTGTCACCATCTGTGGCTGCTACACCATCTTCAGGGCCTAAACTAAGCAAGTGAGTCAATCTCTCACATTTTTGAGACTTGGTTGGAAATGACAGTAACATGAACTCCGCCATTTCACCTTAAGATGGCCTCAAGAGTTGTGGTACATGGCATAACAAACATGCTACTACATCCACACCATTCACCTTAGGCCATAAACAGTGCTGCCATGCCATCACCAATACACGTATGTGTGTGGCTGGTTGGGGCTGCACATCCTGGCTTGGTTTCTTGTCTCTTCACTCTGAATACACTTGAGTCCTGATGTAAGTTGATTCTTCAACCAACACAGGAAGAAGACACTATTTACAATATCATCTTTCTAGTTGCATTACTGGTTGACACAAAAAAATCTAGTAGTCATTTCAAATGTACATATTTTTCAATACATATTGTCTATGTACACAGTGGTGTGTCAGGTATGTCCTTATTAAAATAAGCCTTGTTATCAAAATAAACCTATATTCTTTCAACAGTCTCAATAGGTTATTTATAACATCATCTAGCTGTACAGTACACTATTCACTCATCCGTATTATTTTATAACACTATCAAGAATCCTCTGAAAACCAAGTAGTCTACATACTAATCATTAGAATAGATTTTTATATCTTTCCATCTTCATCACTTAAAGCTTCCATAGAACATGCTTTTTTGCCATCTCTATCAACTTTTGAAAAAAGATATGAAGCAGCCAATAAGGTGCATGTCACTTGTATGTTGCAGTGACATTACCTGCCGTGAGCATGGCCACATTATAAGCACACACATTAGGAACATCTCAACACTCCACCAGTCCAGCTGCCCGGCACAGCCTTTAAACAATTAAACCATACAATAGGCTTCATCATGTTTATTCACCCCTAGTAGTAGGAAAAAAGTAAAGAATATAAAAAGTGACCATTTAAAGTAGGTTCAAGAAACATGTTTCACTTGTTATTTCTAACAATTATTCTTAACTACCAGTATTTTCATACTGAAAGCAATCTCAAATTTATTATATAACTGCTGTTCAGTGTTCTCTTGTCTTTGTCAAGCTCACATACATTGACAGCTTACATCATAATGTTAGTTTATTTCTCAAATACAGCTATTCAAATAACATACTTTTTTTTGCCTCCCAGTTAGCATCAGAATCAAATATAAAGAATATATTATGAAATATCAATCAATCTTCTGTTGTATGGTATATTCTCTAAAAATCAAAGTATATTGCAATATCTAAGGAACAACACAAAGCCAAAATATTACAAGATTTACAAAAAATAACAAATATAATTATATTTTCATATACACATATGATGGCTTGTATGTGCACAAACACATACATGCCCACACATACACACACACATTGATTATACAAATGTCTCCATGCATGTATAAGAGTGTGTGTGTGTGTGTGTGTGTGTGTGTGTGTGTGTGTGTGTGTGTGTGTNAGTGAGTGAGTGAATGAGTGAGTGAGTGAGTGAGTGAGTGAGTGAGAGAGTGAGTGAGTGAGTGAGTGAAAGTGAGTGAGTGAGTGAGTGAGTGAGTGAGTGAGGTGAGTGAGTGAGTGAGTGAGTGAGTGAGTGAGTGAGTGAGTGAGTGAGTGAGTGAGTGAGTGAGTGAGTGCATGTGCACATATTTGAAGGTAGATTCCCTAGAACTGAGAGCCAACAAAATGCACCATCTGGCACACCCAAGACAGGAAAGACAATGTGATAAGCCTAGAGTTTCCACTAGACTGTAACTCAAAACCAGTAAGGTCTGTTTTCACATAAGGCTACTGACAAAATGTGACACTTATCTACTGAATAACTTATAATGTTACCTAAGCAGAACTTCCCAAAGAAACCAAAATTTTACAGTTTATATGTGGAGTTCGTTGGTGTTAAAGGTCTCTGTACTGTGTTTACTTCAACAAATAGAAAAATGTGAGAAAATAGACTAGTATCCAGAATCTTGTCATGCTGTCAACCAATTTTATATTCTTCACGTACGATCATGAAGCAAAACTATACCCATTTGTGTGATATTGTAGTCACCAGACATTTACATAGATAAGAGGAATTTGCATTCGGATTTAATTCAGGTAAAAAAAACAATATGTATAATAACTATATCTATATAATCATGTATATTTTTTGGCCATTTACTGAAAAAAGCAAATTTTAGGTACTCTCTCAGCACTTGAAAAATATTTTGATTAATTTAGAACATAACTCATTGCCCCTTTAACTGTATTTCCATTATTTCACTGTCAAAGTTTTGTGGAAAGCAACAAAATAAATCTCCATTCATTTGCAGTTGGGGCATTCCCATCTGCTATAGGCCATCAGTCAGTTATCAATGATCCTGTATTGCATACTAATAATGGTTGAAAATTATTTAGCTAAAATTAAACAGTGACATGCGCTGATGCCTGAACAGAAACTCTAGGTAATCAGGCACAGCAAGAGTTGTGATCAAGCTGTTGACATTGGCCTCCTGAATTTTCTGCTCACAACTGTGTGTTCCATCATCAAGAACAATCCAATGTTGGAGAAGGTAGCTATGCTTTTACCAAACTATTTTAAAGTTCATACACAGCCACCAAAAGCAATTGGACAATGAAAATGGAGTGCCTTCTGAATTTTGGTATAAGGACTTTCATCAGAGAAACATTTCATTCAACCATCTCATCCCTTATTCAGGAAAAGGTGCATAGCCCCTACAAGGCTCTGAAGTCTGAGATGGGAGAGAATGATTACCAGCTAACGGAGAAGTAGCCAGCAAGAGGATGCTGTGAAATCAAAATGCTTGCACTCCAAAAACACAATATCTTAGCTAGATGACTACAGCAATATTCTGTGAATGATTAGTGGCCTACTTGGTGTCCAAAATGAGTATTGCAGTGAAATTTATTTGGGGTTTAAGATCTTACTCACTCTTATCAATCTAAGTTCACATAAAATAGAATCTAATGGTATATACCTAATATTTATGTTGTGTAATTTTGCCTGCTATTTCATCCATCAAGCAACTTATGGATCACAATGTTATTGCTAACATGAAGACTCTAACATACAGCACATTTTTTGGGTGCTGATAAACAAGACAGAAGGAAAGCCTACAGCAAAAATTCTGGAAGCAGTACAACATTCTCCATGCCACCTTTCATATCAAGGATGCATCGAATGCATCCCTTAACACAAACTGAATGCTGCGCAGTCAAAAGTTTATGTGTGCTGTTCAATCCTTACAAGGTTTAAGTGAAACAAATTAAATCATTAGGTTAGCAAACCATAAAGGATTCTGATGAAGAGGGGAAATGAAAACTCACAGTGAAAGAATGAAACAGACATCTCATTTAGCTAATCTACAAGGGGCTTGAATAGACTGTTTACCTGATAGTGCACAAAATGTGAAATAAGCCTTTGGAAATCAATGGCCTTACTACAGTGTGGTTTTGGGCATCAGTGAAAGAAGAAAGAACCAAGTAAATCTTGACTTGTTTCTTTTAAGTGGTGACATGTAGAAAATGAAGGAAAATATTCTTTCCCTCTAGAACTCTTTAATTCCACTTTCCTAAGTTGTTGTCTGGAAGTTAAACTGGAGGATGTGGATGGACACAAAGATGAGTCCTCTTCCATCCCTGCCACACAAGCCTAATCATACACACCCTGCCCCTTTGGTATATTATGTGAGTACATGACTTTGTTTACTTTTCTATAGCTTACTTATGTTCCGCATTAACCATCTCATACATGATTACAGACTCTTCCCATTTAAAATGTATCTCAACTATACTACAGGTCCTAATTAAGCACTACCATACTATATTCTTCTGGGATAGTGTATCATTATTTACCAT